CATCCTTAAATTGTATCTACTTGCATTATACGTTTAAATGTGTCCTAAAATACTAACATTATATGGCATTAAAAGTTTAATATTTTAAAAGATATTTTCTAGTTATTAATAATATAAAATACATTTAGACATACCATTGTCTATTGATAATTATTATTAATCTTCTTTTTATTTTTTTACGAGTTTTTCAAATTTATTGGATTAAAATCTAATCTTATCTGCTGTAAGTAGTTGTTATTAATCTAACAAATATTGGTATATGAATTCATCAGGCATTCTCCTTACAAATTTGTGTACATACTCGCCTATTAATAATATTTTCCCGACATACCTAAATGTGTATTACGTTATCATTCAACAAAAACAATAATCATTTCAAAAAATAAATCAAATTTACGAGTAATAGAATAATAAAATAGTTTGAAAAATTAATACTAAATTTAATCATATGATAAAAATAAAAAACAATAAAACTTATAAACTAAATTGAATAGTTAGTTTGTACATGTTTAATAAAAATTATATGTATCAGATACGTACATGTAAATGTGTGTTTTACTTAGAGGTGTAAATTTGATTTATATGGAAGAACCAGTCCGAAGTCATTTCCAAATTTTATTTCTAACTTAACTCAGAGTGACAACATTAAAGTAAAACTTCAATTAACTCTTAAATATTTTTAATAATTAGATAAGCCATTAAAATATTACAAAATAATAATTTAATTCTATATATTTTATATTAATAGTAAACTAATTTTTTACTATTTGTAATTTAATTGTAAGATTGAGTTTAATAGTATCTTAAGTTCAACTCAATATAATCTGATTTGGGTTCAATTGTTTATAAATCTTTCATGACTTGGGTCCAACTTAACTAGATGTTTTTCTTTTTTGACCTAATTTGACTTATCCCAACATGACTTAACTTGGCTCAACCAAAGCAAACTTGAGACCTAAGCTTGACTCGATCCAACTCATCTTGACCTAGGATGAGCCTGAGCCAACTTAACGTAGACTCATCCATAACCAACCCATAATGACTTGGAGTTAACTTGCAGTCTCATCTTGACTTGCGTTAAACCTTGCCCAGTTTACCTTAACATAGGTCCAACCCAACTCAGCTTGATATAGGTCGGTCTAATACAACATCCTTGGGTCCATCTCAACCAACCTAACTTGTGCTTGACTTGATCTAACCTTGAGTTACTATGACCTAATTTGACTTTATCTTTCTTTATTGGGACCCAAATTGACATTGGCCTAGGCCAACTTAGTCTAACCTTTGTCCAACCTGACTCGTCTTGATTGAGTTGATCCATTTTTGACTTGAGCTAACTCGACATTACTTGATGTGGATTCAAACTAGGGTGAGTCTATCTCAACCCAACATGAAATTTATGTTAGCATTTAGACCAATGAACAACAATGCATCAGTCGTAACATAGCAAGTAATGAGTATTTATCTTTCTCTCCAAAGATACTTATGTCATACATGACAAATATTGCAATCTATAACTTAGTTTGACACAATGTTCACAAAACACAATAATTTTTTAGGTTAAATATGTTATAGTCCCTAAACTATCAAGCGAAATTGTTTTTAGTCCCTCTTTACATTTTAGTCATTCTCCTTAAAGAAACCTTAATTTTTCGTCCTCCAAAACCAACAGCGTTAAAAAGAAGCTGAACTGGCTAACGGTGTGTGCCACGTCATTTTTTTTTCTGAGTAATTTTTTGCCTCCCTCATCCAGTGCTTCTCCATTTCCCCCTCCGCCATCCACGACCTCCTCTTCGGCCACGTCACCCACCTTCCCACCACACCGTTCGATGACTCTTCCTCCGTCGTCCCCACCCTCCTCGCCACCGTCACCGACTTCCTTTGACCCCCCTCTTTCCATGAATCCTCAGGCGTTGTCATCCCCTCCGCCCTCCACCCTCACTCCTCCGTCCTCGGGTGGATCTTCGCTCGTTGTCAATCCGATCGGAATTCACAATAATTTCCCCTCACAGCATTGAAAAATTGGGAGAAATCGTTGGGGCGCGCTCATACTCTCGTTGCAAGCACAAAAAATTGTACCTTAGAGGGATCAGTATCCTTGTCAAGAACGCTCATAACGGTTTCCAGATCGATGCAAAACTTGTCGTCATCGGCGGCGCTACCGTCACCGTCCAAGAACCACACGTAACCGAATCCCTCATCTACCATCATCGCCGACACCCTAACGAGATCGATCGCATCAAAACCCTAACTCACTTTTTTAGAAGCTGTGGCCACAAAAGCAAAACCTCTGGTGGCGAATTTTGGAATCGAAGAGCGAGGATGATCTTAATCCCATTCTATGATCACTTTTGTGCGAAAAACATTCATAGACATTAGCAGCGATCACTGTCCTGGCCTGGAGACAAATATTGAATTGATTTATATTGGATTAATTTTGGTATCTGCTACTGTAATGTTGTCTTTGATCTTCTAGGTCATCTATGCAAGGGAGCGGCGACACCGTGTTTATACAAAACAGTTCATTGACGGCTAAATGTGTTCGAACTTCACATTAGGAACATCATCATTCTTGTCTACATTTGAGTTATAGATATTTGCATTTCCAATTGAGTCTATTGTTTCATGTGATGTATATAGAGTTCTTGAACTCACAATTTACCTATAGATTAGTAGAAGAGATGTGTGAAAGTAGTATATCAATTTTTTTATTTCACCCGAGGACGGAGGAGTGAGGGTGGAGGGCGAAGGGGATGACAATGCCTGAGGATTGATGGAAAGAGGGGGAGTAGAGGAAGCTGGTGATGGTGGTGAGGAGGGTGGGGATGACAGAGGAAGAGTCGTCGAAGGGTGTGGTGGGAAGGTGGGTGACGTGGCCGAAAAGGAGGCCATGAATGGCGGAGGGGAAAGTGGAGAAGCGTTGGATGAGGGAGGCAAAAAATTACAAAAGAAAATGACGTGACACACACCATTAGCCAGCTCAGCTTTTTTTAACGCTGTTGGTTTTGGAGGACGAAAAATTAAGGTTTCTTTAAGGAGAATGACCAAAATTTAGCTTAGTTTGAAAGATGGACTAAAAACAATTTCGCTTGATAGTTTAGGGACTAAAAACATATTTAACCCTAATTTTTTTTATATCGAACAGTTGGTCTGCAAGAAACAGAGTATGTATAATTGTCAAGACTATATTTCATCCACTTCATTCTCATGTATTATCAATCAATCTCAATTCCAATTTTATGTTAAAATCAACTCATAAATATGCTCAAATTATATCTATAGTGACTTTGATCATATGTTACTCATTGAGTTCTAATTCCTTGAATTCTCAACAAAGAAATCATACATTAAGTTTAAAAGTCTTAAGATTACTAATGAACCATGTTCTTTCCCTAGATACAAGCTCAATTAGGTACTTAATTTTAGTTTTAGGTTCAAAAGGCATTTTGCAACACCTTAAGAACCAATAATCAAGCAATGGATGATCAAGGCACAACCAACATTAAGCATAGAAATCAAATACTAACATGGAAATGGAAAATCATATGTATTAACATCATAAAATACACAAGAAATTACTTTATTACATCTAATCTCAACAATAGGTTTAGTTTTCCATGATATAGAACTTAGGATTTACAAAATTAAAGAGATATGAAATAAATTGAAATAATAGAGAAGAAGCAAGTCCTTTTTCAAGGTTCTTAGAAACCACTTCATGCTCTAATTGCATCTCATTTGCATCATCCTCTTCAGCCCAAAAAGGAAAAAACCTTCATGGATGAAGGAGAAGGAAGAGCTTTTCAACACTCATAGTAGTCTGTCTCAAGCGCTCTTTAACTTGCAAATCGTTAGGCGGGTCATTTGGCCGTACGCAATATATAACATGCTTGGAGAATTGAAATAAAATGCTACTATTATGCTTTGGAGTTAGATTTGAACCTAAGACCATTTAGAATGTATCAATTTAAGCACTAGGACAAACTTCTTCCTGGATTGTAATTTTCTTTTATTGATTTACAAATGAGATAAAACCCACGACTTAATTTGTATTTAAAAGTTTTTGGAATTTAAAATAGGGAAAATACTTTTGTAAAATAACTGTGTGATTATCTCTACTAGGCTTTTCCTCTATATCTTGTGACCTTATTAAAAATTCTTCAATTTTTGTGACAATCATAATTAGGCTTATCAAACCTTAGTTTGTGATGCCTTCCTTAATTAACTTGCCATGATCTTAACCTAGCCTAACTTACCTAAGCTGGACTTAACCCTACTCATACTAATCTAAGTTCGAATTTGCTAAATATTTTTCATGTGTATAGAGATTTTTTATTTTTATTTTTAAATATTCTTTTTTAAACCCACCTTCATATATAGTAGTAGGATATTATTACCTTCCCTTTAACGAACTCCTAGATCCCAAATTTGATCTCAAAAAGAATCTTTTTAAAGACTTTTATATACCCTTTTATATATTTTTTAATCGTACCATCCTGAATTCAGTTGCAAGAGAGACCACTAAAAGACACTTGACATGACATGAATAACTTTTACTAATTAATAAGTTTTCTAAAATAAAAAATGTAATAAGAACAAACATATCTACAATGGGAGAAGTATGCCAAGAGTACTACAAGCTCCTGCATAGGAAGTTCAAATGAAAATCAAGTCTCACCTTTTAAACCTTCTTTAATTATCAATCATCAAGTAAAGAAAAAAGACTCGTTATTTAGATTGATTAGTCTTGATAAGCAAAACTGCAATATAAAAAAAAAAACTGATAATTACAAGTTATAACAAGCGTACAAGACAATAGTTGTACATTATGCATACAGTGGTTTCCCAGCACTCAAGAGTACCTAAGATGCTCCCATATAGAAGTTCGAATGAAAATCAAGTCTCAGCTGTCTAAAATTTCTTTAATTATCAGTCATCAAGTGAAAAACATAAGACTCGTTCTTTGGATTTGATTAGACTTGATAAACAAAACTGCAGTATAAAAAAACTGTGATAATTACAACTAAATACATTAACAAGCATACAGAATAATAGTTGTACATAATGCACACAATGGTTCCCCAACACTCAATGACCCCTGCCTCCAAACCGATGCCTCACATGCAAGCAACTCGAGGCATACAAATGTAAATTTCATAAACATTTTTCCCCTTAAAAGGTCAAGTCCTCACATCTTTCAGTGCACCCCCTTTTTCAAGTTCACTTACCAGATCCCTAAGTGATGGAACCTTCATAGCCAAAGTCCTATATAATCTAGAATATCGTGCTCGAGTTCCATCTGCAGTCCTTGCTAGGGCAAGCAATCTTAGAGCCTCGGGTAGTTCAGCAAATACTTGTTTCATTTCCTCCAAGCTCAAATTTTCCAAAATGGACGGCCTTGGGGCAACCCTCACAATCTCACCTTCTTTAGGTTCCTGAACTCGAGCCTCGGCTTTAATGATTAGTTCTGAATTTGAGTTTGCTCCACATTTTATTATAAATGAGGAGGTATTACCCGTATTGAATTGAAGGACGTTCCACTGTGCCACATCAGTTCCAGACCCAGAGCCTGTATCAGTAGATGACATACGAGAATGTGATAGGTTCTGACTGCGGTCATCTTCTTCAGGAATTGACTGCATCATAAAAGAGGTTTAGGAATCAAAAAACTCAACATAAGTCGGACATAGACCCAATTTTACCAGAAATGCTGAGATAGAAAAGCATTTCAAATTGTTTTTATCCTTTCATTCCCTACTTTTCCTTTTTGTTTCGGGTACAGCATTTCTTAAGTATATAACTGGGTTGATAACACAAACTTAGTTAACAATTTAAAAAAAATGATAAAATAGTCAAATACAGAAAAGTCAGATAAATCTTGGGAAACATAAAGAGAGACACTTTTTAAAAGGTACGACAGAGTACATAAATGGTAATTTTCAGAAGGCGTCAGCTACTCCCGCACCCACCCACCCAATGGCCTTGTTCCTGTGATTATGATGAGAATTTTTTTCCCCAGAGAAAAAGTTGTGATTTTAGTCGAAACTGAGTATGCCGAATTCAGAATGAGCATAATCTGATTCCTTCACAACTCAAAATACAATCTAGCCATATGGAGCATCAATTTGCTTACCTCAACCACTCTGCGAGCATCTGCAATGTACCTCTGAGCACATGGATGATCAATTTCAAGAAGTGAAGACATTTGTTCTGTCAGTTTGTCTAGAGAACCAAGCACCGTTCTTTTCTTACTTTTTTCGATGGTGTTCACAGTAGAAAGTTTAGTTATATCCTGTTCAAATTATACCATGAATTATTGAGTATTTGCTAGCACAACACCAAATTTTGAAGAACAGATTTCAAAATAAGAAAAAAGAAACCTTGACTTGCTTCAATATTCTATCAAGTGAAATAAGAGACGCTAATCTTGCATCCTCAGCAGCAGTAGAATAATTTTGAACAGGTGAACCACCATTTTCCAAGGTTAGTAAAGCTACATCACTTCTCATTTGTTGTAAAATCTGAAAATAATTGCCAGGACATCATAAATAGACATTCATTTAAGAGAATAAGGCATTAACTTCCCTCTTTAATTACCATATAAAACTTAATCTACACTAAAATTACAAAGTCGAACAAAATTGCCAGAAAACTCATTTAAGACTGAAGACTAATGTTACTGTAAAATAATCCCTCCTCTAGAACCTATTTTGTTTCTCGGCTAGAACTGTACCAATCAATTTTACCACATTGAAGCTCAGGACTACGAAAGTTCACTTTAGTTCCTTTGAGATAAATAGTCATTACAGGTGTGTTGTCTATATATACCTACTTGAAGAGTTAGAGAAGCTGAAAAGTCTTATTTTTCACTTAGTAAATTTGATACAACTTACTATTATATTTATAGGAGACAGTAGTTCTAAAAAGTAAAAGAGCGGAAGCCCCTAACAAAATCCTAACATAAATATTAATAATAATAAAGACATTATATTTCAACATACGTGAAATGGGAAGGAATAGATGTTTCATTTATATCTTCTTAATTACAAAAAGATGACCCTCTAGAAGTGCTGATATAACTTGGACAAACAGTATTAGAATCAACAAAGTTACGAAAAAATAGTTTCAATTTTATGGTACTTTAACTTCCTCTTATCAAAGCAATTTCCAAGTATCATGTGAAAAGTCTTTCAAAAATATAGCATGACAATAACATGATATAACGTTATTATGTTAAAACATCCCATGCAATTTTTGTATAATAAACAAATGCAAGAGCAAAACATTCAACTCGTAACAAAGCTCAAGGCATATTCAAATACAGGTTCATACAAGTATACGCATGCTTAAAGTATCACCAATTTTCAGAAAATACATCCCATTAAAGGGTTGCATATTTTCTGTTAATAATTAGGATTTAAATTTGTATCATTTTCCTAATTTCCCAGTTTCCCAATATCAGTTTGTATAATTAACCATGTTGTGGATTAACACGGGCAGTTCCAAAATATTTTGCTCCATTCCAAGTGTGAAAGAAAGTACCTTTCTTCTTTTGTGATCAACAGATTCTAGTGCTGAACGCAACTTGGCCACTTGTGCCGCATCTTCAGTCTCTTCTGTTGCCAAGGTACCAGTAATATCCTGATAAGCCAATGTCAGGAAAACAAGCATCAAAACATAATTTAACACGTATGAGAAAATTAATCAAACATGAGTTTCTCGCTTTTTTTGGTTCATGATGGGTACAAACCGGTAAAACCCAATCAAGATCTTAAATTTAGGAGAAAGAATATATTTCTTATTATTTGTCTCCTTACATACATTGGATATATATACAAGAACTTATTGAATATTTTAGGAAATAAAAGTAGCCTATTCTACTGAACAAATCCCTGGAATTGTGAGATTGTTATACTAGTAATAATAGCAAGATACAGAAAATATAACAAATTAAATAGATGAGAATAATATCTAAATTTCCTAAAATATATTTTGACACAATAAAACCACACAAATGTGATTTGCGATACATGGTAATTGCAAGAATATAAGATGTATATTAATATGAATGAATCTGTGTTTTTGAGCACAACAAAGGAACACATTACATATAGACCAGAGAAGGGCCTACGCCCATATATTGAAAATACATCAAACACTCCTCATGCTAGTGAATGTAAATCATATGCACCAAACTTGTTCCAAATATAATTAGTTTTAAGACCCTGTAATGATTTGGTGAAGACATTCACCAACTGATTATTGGAGTTAACAAATTGAGTAGTGATGTCTCTCAATAAAATCTTTTAAAAAACGAAATGACAATCTATCTCAGTGTCTGGTCCTCTCATAAAATACTGGATTTGAGTCAATATGATTGTTTATCACAAACGAGACATTTGTGTACCCTCTCAAAATTTTAGTTCTTAAAGTCTTTTGAGCCAAATAAGTTCATAAGCAGCAGAAGTCATAGCTCTATATTTTACTTTTACACTAGATCTATTACCAATACAGATACAATATCCTATAGAGCCTACCCAATCTGTAATTGAGTATCCTCAAGAATGATTACTTTGTTCATATAACAAATCTTTTTTCCCAGGGCTCCTTTAAAGTACTTTAGAATGCAAATAACAACATTTCAATATCTTGCACATGAATAATTTAGAAATTGAATTACACATTACCGGAAAAGGAATGTCAAGAGAAGTTATTGTGGATAGTCAAGTTTCCCAACCAATATCCCATACCTCTCAGGATCTGAAAGTTGCTTTGTTGACTTGGTAGAAGTTTAACATTGGGATTCATAGGTATGTCAAGGGGCTTGAATTTCATTAGCCTATTCTCCTCTAAAATATCAAAAGCATATTTCCTCTAGGAAATTAAAATTCAATTGTTGACTTGTGCTACCTCAATTCTCAAGTATCTAACTCCAACAAGGTCTTTTGTCCATAAATGATGACAAAGGTATTTTTTTAATGTAAAATGTCACGGTAATTGCTACTTGTAAGAACAATGCCATCAATCTAGACCAGAAAGTAGATACACCGCAACCTTGAATGATGATAAAACACAAAATTGATCATCCTCACTCCAAGTCATATCAAATTGTTGGCCAACTGCATTGAATCTACCAAACCATGCTCTGAGAGATTGTTTAAGGCAATATAAGATTTGCAGAGACCAGCATACAAGGTGGGAAGAGTCCCCAAAGCAACAAAACCAAGAGGTTGTTCAACATAAATTTCCTTCAGTAAATCACCATGTAGAAAGGTGCTTTTGACATGCCAACTGATGGAGGGACCAACATTGAAGAGCAACCATGGCTAAGAATAATTTGAAAGAGGTGATCTTGGTGATCAAAGAAAAGGTGTCACCAAACTCTAGCCCAAAAGTTTGAACTAAACCAGTTTTGAGCTGATCAATAGTGCCATTAGAGCCAACTTTGATTGTGAAGATCCATTGACATCCAACAATAGATTTCCTAGGAGGTAAAGGAACAAGATTCCAAGTACCACTGTTTTGAAGAGCACACAATTCATAAAACATGGCATGTCTCCATCCAATGTGGGCTAAGGCATCATATAGGAAGCGACATAGAGGAAAGCGAAGAGAAATGAGTATAATGAATAGAAACAACTTGTGATAACATATGATGGGAAGGATTGTGAGTGGAGAGTGTTAGAATCTGTTTTATTAGTTGTATTATTTCTGTAAATGTTTTATTAGCTGTATTATTTCTGTCAGAATCTATGTTTTATTAGCTGTATTGTTTCCTTATTTAGCATATTACAATTATAGTGTATGATGGGAATATCCCTGAATCAGAGGGATCTAGTTGTCTAGGTGCTATTATTATTATTCCTAAAATAGCTTTCTAGCCTTGTATATATGAATTGTATTCTCGGCATAATTTAATATATCAATTATTCTACCCTAAATTGTGAGATGGCATCAAAGCTCTCAATTTCTAGGAGCCACCTCTGACTGCACAAACCAAAACCCTAAACGACAGCCTTCATTGTCCACCATCCCTTTCAAGACAACCTTCATTGTTGTCAATAGTTTTTTTAAGGATAGCCAACCTTCATTACTTTGTGATTTGCAATGTTGTTTCTTAGTTGCCGTCGCAACAAACAAATACATATTGCATTATGGTCATTGTAATGCGATTGACATAGCCGATTAGTGGTGAATACTGAGTCACAAAACACTTAGGAACAGCTGCAGAACCTCAACACTACCTACCGATTGAATGGGAAAATTTACTTGAAATGGACCCAGCTTGTTCACTGTTAGGATATTTATCCTATTTTATCATCATTATAGTGTGTCAAGGGTTATCCTATTTATCATGATTATATTGTGTCTAGGATGGAGTAGATGATTTCTTAGTGGGGCTTTACTCTGATTTTGATCAACTGAGAGTCCAAATCCTTGGAAAAGAAAAAATCAAGGAATTAATGAAGTAGTAACTGGTAGAATCTGTTTTATTAGCTGTATTATTTCTGTCAAGATTTTGTGTTTTATTGTTTCCTTATTTAGCATATTATAATAACGGTATATGATGGGATATCCCTGAATGATAGGGATCTAGTTGTCTAGGAGCTACTATTATTTTTCCTAAAATAGCTTTCTAGCCTTATATATATATATATATATATATTGTATTCTCAGCATAATAAGATGAATCATTCTACCCTAAATTATAACATGGTATCAGCGCTCTCAAATTTTGGGTGCCGCCTTTGACTGCACACACCAAAACCCTAGTCGACAGCTTTCTTTGTTGCCACCATCCCTTTCATGACAGCTTTCATTGTTGTTGCACACCAAACCCTAGTAGCTAACAGCCTTTACCCAGTATAGCTTTCCTAGTCTTGGACTAGAATATTTTTGTCGGATATTTTTTTAAATTAACAGATAAAAGAATATAAAAACAAAGTGATATAGGATTTCATTGGATGAGCAGCATGGGATCAGATTCCAAAGCAAGCATAGCTAGAAAGGAGAACAATTAACATCTTACATGGCAAGGGTGTCAGCATGGAAAATATGGGAAAGAGAGTAAACAGGAAAATTAAAGGGTGGAGGATTTATGTCAGAAAACCATACTTCTCGAAAGTGTGGGGTAATCTTTGTATTTTTCCTTGTTCAGTTTCCTACATTTCTCTATTATTTTGTATCTCTTGAAGATGATACCTCATTGATATCTACTTGAGAATAATGAGAACATATGCATAATGTACTTTTATGATCTAGTCCAATTTCCTATCACAGACTAACAGAGACACGATATCCTCTAAAAGTAACAGCAAAATACATGCCTAGAAGAAAATGTTTCATCTAGGTAAACCTTACTGACAATATCTTTGTGCCTCCAATGAAAACACTCTTTTGGCGTAAATATTGGCTAAATACCAAAATAAAGTAAAGAAAAACACATTATCCAACAACAATGCCAATATAAGTAGGTGGGCAAAGTCTAGCATGTTTACAAATGCGTCAAACACAACTAACTTAACTATTAACAGTACCACCTCTCTCAATCAGTGACAAGTTATACAGGGCTTTTTCTGGTTCTCAAGAACATCAAATAGTATTTATTTAGAACAATCATTCTAGACAGATTTAAGATAAAACGCACCTTCAAGTGCTGCAGTTGAGAAGTATAGACACGTCTTGAATATTCAAATAGAAGTTGGCCAAGGGCATCAGTTTGGGGAGACAGGGCACTGCCAAGTCCAGCCATCCAACCATCCATAATTGCAGTTGAAATAAGCTCCAACTGACCATTTGTTCCCCCCGGTGCATCATTTCCCATAATAGATAGAAAATCAAACTTCTCAGCAAGCCAGGATCTAATTTGGCGCTGCAGCTCTCCAGCTGGAGTATGTACAAAGAGTGCAGCAAGAGCCTTGTTTCCAATTGCAAAACTTTTTGCTTCCTCACTGATTTCCCTAAGCTTTCCCCCAGTTACCTGCTGTCTCCAGGTTTCCTACACGGTTTATTCAAGATTATAAAACAAGGTGACACACACATGCATATTCATAACACCATAGGTAAAAAAAATGAGACAGTATCACCAAGAAATAGCATATTATTTATGATATTCAAAATTCAAAAGAAAGGCAAGAAAAACAAATCCTACTCAGTAATTTTCAACACATAATATCATTACCTCATCAATCCCACGTATCTTCAACACAACAGATGAAAATTTCGATTTCTTTTCTGGCTTTATATTCACTTTAAATCCCTGGATCTGCTCATCAACATATTGCACTGAAGATCTTCCAGGACTGCTTGCTCGGCTGGAACTTCTACTGGGTCCAGTGTTGGACTTTTCAAGAAAGCACTCAACTGGCAATACCTTTCAATTCAGAGTGCAAGATTTACTAAATTAGAAAGGTACACCAGGAAAATTCAATAGAACATCACTAAATTGACATTAACAAGTTATAGTAAGAAAAATACTGTACCTTAATGGATTGCAACTCTGGGGATCTGGCAAGCAAAGATCTTATATACAAGATTCTAACACGGGAAATAAGCATGGTATCCATTACTCGCCTTGGCTCCATTTTTCGAATAAATGAAAAAACAGCATCTCTAATTTCAGCAAGTATTTCGTGTTCTCTGGAGGCACCAGCTTTGATGACAGCAGCCAGAACCTGTGCCATTAAGATTAATGACGGTAAAATTCCATCTTGCAAGCTTAAGCTATTAGAGTGGTTTATATTTAACATGCCCACGCTTGATCACTTGGACTTGAAGTGTGGCACACCCCACCTTACACTGAAATTTATGTTGTTTATTCAGAAGAATATGGGTGTCAAAGATATGATTCCGTAAAACGGAAAATATTGTATAGCCTTTAAGTTTAGGGATTGAGTTTTATATTTCCTGTTTCCTTTTATTATATTATTACTTTTCCCAATAAATAGAGAAGCATGCGTGTGCTCATAACACAATTTCTGTAAATCTTTCTAAAAGGTGCAGAAAGGTTCCAGGGCTCACTTATAGAGTTACAGAGAGAAAAGTATGCACTGAGTCTGTTAATATAGAAAAAAAAACAATATGGTCGTGGGGGGTTGTCTTTATCAAAGTAATGTAATGGGAATCTAGAGTAATGACTCAAACTTGCAAGGAGTTTTGCCTCTTATTTTCTCCTGTATGGGTTCCTTATTTCAGATTTCTTAGGAAGTGTTTGATCCATATACCAACGAACCTCACTTGGTGAGAAAAGACTTGATCGTTGTTGTCTATGTTTGTATATCTGATAAGGGATAATGTTGGGTTTTAGGCCTGTCTTTTATGTTCTGCAAATGGTTGGTTCAAAAATACTTCTACTAGTGACATGCAAAGAAATTGGACAGTTTTTTAGCATTTTTAGCAACTTTATCTAATATTATTGTATTTTCTTTTACAGGAGAATATTTCATGTTCCACACAACGCAATTTTCTCCTCACTATGGTAATATATTGCCACAAATTGTCTCGCAACCATAAGAAAACTATCACTAATAACTTCCACACATTTTCAAACTGAACTAAGAGCAAGCATTGTCTAAGGCCTACAATGCGGCAACTAAAGCAGAATTCCCAATTTGAACCAGGGAAGACTTCAATGCATCCCAGTTGTTGCATTGTCCAGCTTTCAATTTTAGAAGTGTGATAAGCACAGCAACATTCTTATGAAGAAGGTACTTTATGTAGAAGTAAAGAACCATTGCACATAAACTACAATTTATCTGCTTTCACCAAAGTATAAACTGAACCTAAACACTAAAGATACATACCAGCATCAGAAGCTTGTTTGCACCATCAGAAATGGCAGCAAGTCCTTCATACTGATCAGGATTAAAGTCATTCAGTGCTGCAGTAAGATATTCACCAGCCGGGGTAGTCTTAACTCTCTCAGAACCAGATTTAACTAAAGCAACAGTGCCGTCATTCTTATCTGTGACAAAAGATGAAGGAAGAAGATCCATAGAACGAGCTCTTGCAGTGGTGCTGGTGTCATTTCAGTTTGAATACAATGAGAATAAAGCCACTATCCACAAGCTTAAAAATAAAATAGAACTGCAATGTATATGACAAAATGTAAAATTGTACCTGCCCAAATTTCCAGGCTCAACATTAATTGATCCCCTAGATAATGGACTTGACAGCTGAAAATAAATTTAAAATCTTAAAATGGCAAAAGCACCACATTAATAGCACAGAAATGATGGTCACAGTAATTTAGATTCTGCCATCTATATCGCGTCAATATTTTAGCAAATGGGGCTGATAAACTGATAGAAGAAAAGAAAGCATGCGGAAACAATATTTAAGAATCCATGTAGTTAGAGCCGCACAGACAGAAGCCATATTTAGAAGTAAAAAATTCTTTGCAGTGGAAGTTCTATTTGCACAAGAGAGAGAAAAAGCATTTCCGAATACTTTGTTGCACAGTTCCTTTTTGTTAGATGTTAAGTTGTGTGTTTATGTTAATTGGGCTTAGCCCATTCTGTATTTAGGGTTTAACCCTTATCTTACATTATAAATAAACTATCCTATGTGTATGCTAAACACATAAGGGAGATTTCTCCTAATCTTCTCTATTATTTAACATGGTATCTAGAGCACAGGAATAGTTCCCGTCAACTCCACGGTCTCCGGGTACCCATCTCACCGCCGCGTCATGCCGTCGCCGCCGGCATGGTCGCTGCAGTCGCCGCCGCTGCCGTGCCGTCGCCGCCGCTGCCGATCGGTCGCCCGCCGCTGCTTTTTGTTTTTTTCTGCCGCCGCCCGAAGTCGCACGGAAGAGTTCCAGAATCGACAGACGACCCACACACCATCATCGGAATCGTCTCGGAAGGGCGACCACGGTGTGTGTGGGTCCAAAGATCGCGGGAACGGAACACCACGCAACCTCAAGCGCCGCCGCAACAGTCACCGCTGCCGCCGCTTCCCGCCGTGCGTGCCGGCACGTCGCCGGAGAGTTCCGCCGCCGATCAGCACTGCCGCGATCGCCTCCTCGCCCTCTTTCTGGATCTGTGGTCGTTGCGTCAATCGGAGCACTTTGGATTTTTAGGGTTTCTCCCTCTCCATGGCTCCCAACTGATGAGCGGGGTCGGGGGGTCTCGCAACTAGGTAAAATACGGTCCAAAATGTGACCATTGTGGCAAGCTAGGCCACAAAAGTGTAGATGTTAGGGCTTCTTTGGACTCCTCCTCGACCTATAGCAATGGCTTATTCGGATCCACCTCCCCGATCACCGGTCTGCAGACCATCCTACTTCTCAAATACCATAATAACCAGGTACTCTTTCAGGAATTTCTCAGATGGTATGAGGCCCTGTCAGCAACTCTAGTTCCACTACATCTACTTCTGTTATACGCACAGGTCCTCCTTTTGGGTCTGACTCACTCTCTCGGATCTGGGGTCCTTGACTCAGGCGCCACCGATCATATCACTGGTAACAAGTCCTTGTTTTCTTCCTTGTCATGTCCGATTAATTTACCCTCGGTAACGATGGCTGATGGGTCTAGAGTCCATCTCATGGTAGTGGTACTGTTCATATTTTTTCCGGCCATATCCATTATTATGTCCTTATGTTCCTTGGGTCTCCTTTTAACTTATTGTCCGAAGTCGTCTAACTCGTTCCCTTAATTTGTTATTTCATTTACCAAAGATTTTGTTGGTTGAGGACCGGAGTTCGAAACACATGATTGGCACAGGATGTGGTCTCATGGACTATATTATCTCAGCCCTTCTCCCATGCGGCGTTTAATCATGGAGTCCACCATCCTTCTTCATGCTCAGTTAGGTCATCCAAGTCTGCCCAAACTGCAAGCAACTTGTTCCGAGTCGGTCGAAATTATCAAGTTGTCGTGTGAGTCTTGCAGTAGGTAAAAAATACTCGTAGTTACTTTCCTCGTAGGTTTCACAAAGAGCGGTCATCCCCTTTCATGGATTATTCTGATATTGGGGCCCTAGTCGTGTCAAGTGAACTTTCGTATTTCAGTATTTTGTTACCTTATTGATGACTATTCCAGATGTACTTGGTGGTGCTAATGAAGAATCGTTCTGAGTTGTTTTCTATTTTTCAATCTTTTGTTTAATGAAATAAAAAAAACAAGTTTGGGTTTTTCTATTCGACTTACGCAGTGGATATGGCCGTGAAACCTTTCTCAACTTGTAACACAGGTATGCTTCTAATGGCATTCTTCACCAAACCTCATGTGATTATACCCTCAGAAAAATGGGGTGGTGAGCGTAAAGAATAGGACAACATTATTGAAAAACTCGTACACTTCTATCTGGTCAAGTACCCCTCACGTTTGGGGGTGATTGATGCGTTTCAACAGCATGTTATCTTCAAACGCATGCCATCTTCGTCCTGATACAAAAATCCCTCATTCTATCTTATTTCCTCAAGACCCTCTGCATCCATTAACCTCTTGAGGTTTTGGGTCTACATGTTTGGTATGATTTTTAGTCCTGGGTCTTGATAGTTATCTCCTAGGTCTCACAAATGTGTCTTCGAGGATTTCACGGTCACAAAAGGGCTATAAGTGTTTTTCCCCTTCCCTCAATCGTCATTTTACTCTGCTGATGTCACTTTTGAGAGTCTTTCTTTTTACTTTTCACATCTATCTTCTAGTTCTGTACCTCTCCATGTTGAATGTGATATTCCTCTTAGATGTGATCCTCCTGTGATGCTCCACCCATTTGTTTTCTCCTTCTTAGACCTCATTCACCACAGGATCATCCTTCACCTCCACCCCTTCAGTTTATAGGTCGCCGTACCGTAATCGTTCCCTCAGACTCACTTCCGGGGGTGCGCCTCATGAGTCTCCTCAGGCTTCCAGCAACCGAGTCTGACTTGGCCTATTGCCCTCCGTAAAGGTATACGCTTTTTCTACCTGTAACCCTTCCCCCCATTATACTGTTCTTAGTTACCACAGATTATTCTCCATCTTTTTACACTTGTCTCAATCCATTTATTTGTGTAACTTCCTTAAATATGTGGTTGATTGCCTTAACTCATCCTGGCTGGCGTAAGCTATGCTGGATGAATTAAGTGCTTTACAGAAAAGTGGAACTGGGAGCTGTCCATTAAAATTTGGAAAGTCTGTTGTTGGTTGCAGGTGGGTGTATGCTGTCAAGGTTGGCCCTTGATGGAACAATTGATCGTATGAAAGCTTCGACTGGTTGCCAAAGGCTACACACAGGATTTTTGGTTTGGATATGGTGATACTTTTTTCCAGTGGCAAAAATGACCTCTGTTCGCTATTCATTGCCATGGCGCTCTTTCTTCGACAATGGCCTCTTTACAACTTGATGTCAAAAAAAAATGCTTCCTAAATGGTGATTTGCATGAAGAAATTTAGATGGAGCAAACCGCCTGGTTTGTGCTCAGGGGGAGTCATCGGGATTGGTATGTCGTCTTCGAAACCTTATGGCCTAAAACAATCTCCTCGAGCCTGGTTGGGTAATTCAGTTGGGTCAACAATTTGGTATGTATGCAGTGAAAGCGGATATTCAGTGTTTATCGCCATCAAGTGCTGGTGGATGTATTTACTTTAATAGTGTATGTCGATGATATTTCTAACAGAAAGTGACTATCTCGGCATATCTCAGATGGAAACAACACCTTTGTCTCATTTTTTTCAAACCAAAGATCTTGGCAAAACTACGGTTAACTTTTTGGTATTGAAGTAGCACAATCCAATGATGGTATTATCATATCTCAGAGGAAGTATGCATTAGAATCTTGGAGGAACAGGTTAATGAACTGTAAATCTGTTGAGAACCTATGGACCTAACATCAAACTTACCAAATCAGGGGAGCCTTTTTCAGATCCTGAACGGTACAGAGATTAGTTGCTAACTAAAAACATCTAATGTTTACTCATCCGACATTTCCGTCGAGTTAGTGTGGTGAGTCAATTTCTAAACTCCCCATGATGAAAGACATTGGGATGCAGTTGTTCAGTTGGTTCGCATAATGAAGAATGAAAGGAGCACTGGAAAAGGTTTGCTATATGGCCCTAAACAACGATACAAAAATCGTTTTTGCTAATTCAGATGCTGATTGGGGCTGGTTCCCTTCTGATAGGAAGTCTACTTCTGGAGATTGTGTCTCTATTGGGGCAACTGATATCTTGGAAAAGTAAGGAAGTAAGAAGCAAAGTGTGTGGCAAGGTCCAGCGCAGAAGCAGAATATAGAGTGTATGGCATCTGATACTTGCCGAGCTGTGTGACTTAAACATATTACTTAGTGAATTGAAATTGGAAGATGTCAATCGCATGACCACTTATTGTTGTAACAAGCTTGCTCTCCATATTAGCTCTAACCCGTTTCCATGAGAGAAACCAGCACATTGAAGTTTGATTGTCATTTATTAGAGAAAAAAATCATATCCGAAGATATCAGACTGAGTTCGTTAACTCAAAAACAACCAGGTTGGCAGACATATTCACCAGTCCCTTACGAGGACCAAGAATTGACTATCTTTGTGTAACAAGCTTGGAAAACATATGATTTAATGCTCCACTTAAGGGGAGAGTATGGTAGATGTTAATTGTGTGTTTATGGTTAATTTGGGCTTAGCCCATTCTGTGTATTTAGGGTTTAACCCTTATCTTTACTTATAAATAAAACTACCATGTGTATGCTAAAAAAAAAACACATATAAGGGAGATTTCTCCTAATCTTCTCTATTATTTAACACTTTTCATGTAAATAATCCATTAAAAGAATGCAAAAATGATTCTATTTAGGAATCACAGGTACACATGGATGTTCAATTTATCTTCATTTTAGAATGATGATTATTATCATGATATGACACTTGAATTGGTAAAAATTAGTATCCTATGTGTTAGATGTTAAGTTGTGTGTTTCTGTTAATTGGGCTTAGCCCATTCTGTATTTAGGGTTTAACCCTTATCTTACATTATAAATAAACTACCATATGTGTATGCTAAAAACATAAGGAGATATAAGGGAGATTTCTCCTAATCTTCTTCACTATATTTAACACTATGTAATGTTACTCAACATAAGTGTACAGGATTCAACTTTTGGAGTTAATGGAGATCGCAATACATAGATATTTAATCTAATATTTACATATTTATATACATTTCCAAAGGTATAAATTATTTAATGTTAAGTAGTTCAATGAAGTACCAAATAATTTTAAAATTCTAGGACATTTTATAATCTTCATCTACTAAAGTTCAATGATTGATTGATAAAATTCAGTATGTATTGTTAAAAATATATAGGAATATCTAAAGATATTAGAATATTTTAAAGTATCTTAGATAATCTCCTTTGATTTATTCTTCGTTTATATTTTAATTCATTTTCTTATTTAATTAGGATCTTTATATTTATAGGAATATCTTAGTAGAATTTATTTAATAGAATATGATTTATGGGCATATCATATCATGTATTTACTGCCATCAGTCTTTATAAAATGGACTCTGTTGTGTAGTCCATATACAGTTTTTGGCATCTCTTCTCTTCCATCTATTTGTCTCTCTCAACATTTATAAATAATTACTCGATGGAGTGAGTTAAAAGTAACTCATGATGTAAATGTACCCCCACCGCTGACACAGAACATAACTACTGATAACTTGGGCATGGCAACTAATGTAGAAAAAAAAAATTGCCTACCTTAGGTGATCCAGCCAGAGATGCTTTCTCAGTCAACTTATCAAATAATTTCTCATTTTCTACATGCAACCTCTGCAAAACATTGAACGGAGTTTCTCAACATAACAAGTGAAACTAATATAAGCATGTAAGAATTCAAAACCGCTTAAGAACTCAACAAAATAAATACTCTGAACTTATGGCATGGTGCCATTTTGATACATAGGATCATATTCAGAGATTACTTCTTCTATCTTTTACATTCTAGAAAGTTCACACCAAGAGCAAACTATATTTGAGATTCTTGGTTGCAGTTTAAGCATTTCCCGTTTTTCACCACATATATTAAGATGGCTGGCAAGGATTTCAACATGAGAAACCCCAGAAAAAGGAATATCTGTCAGTTAACCAATTGTGTACTTGTTGCTTAATCTATCCTCAATTAAAATTATTTCCAAAAATTGAAAAGAAAATTGGATAAAGAAGTGAATAAATAACCATGACCGGGTGGGAAACAGAAATTGGAAGAATGGTACAATCAGACAAAGGATATTGGACCTTGTTGAATATAGTAAGAAACTATATATGAAATTAATCTCTTTTGTATTGAATATACATATAGGGTATTGTATTTATAATAGAAGAAATATGGACTAGGCTAAAAATACAAATAAGAAATAATAACAAACTAACTAAAGATAATAGATAAAAATAAGATAAAGATAATATATCTAACACTCTCTTTCAAGCTAGTTCATACAAATCATATATACCAAACTTTATTAATATTAGTGAAAATATCTGCTTTTACACTTGAGTGACACCAAATTTTTAATGGTTTACGAAGACAGCATAGAAGACAAAATACCAACCTGGAAGACTATAAATCTGGGAGGTTGCTCCATATAAATCTTTTCTTACAAATCGCCGTTAAGGAATGCATTGTTGATATCTAGTGGATAAAGAGATCATGTTGAAGAGTCACCACGACTATAAATAAACTAACAAAAGCCATCTTTTGCCATGGGAGAAAATGCATATATGGACGGATCAAACACAATGGTGACAAAAAGGAGGTCAAAAGAGACAACAGAGGAAGAAGCCATGGATGAACAAGACAGAGAGACCTTAAAAATCCAAGATTCTCCAATCAAGGTACCTAAAAAAGAAAAAAGAGCAATCTTGATCCTCTGAATAACTGCCTGAAAGGAGATGAGACGGGCAACCACACACGACGAACTTGAAAGAGGAAAAAGAACGACATCGACACTCTAAATCACTGTCTAAGAAGAGACGAGACATGCCGCATGCACAACTGAAAAGGGAGCATATCCACAACTTGAAAAAGCACTGAAAGCGCGCAGGAGCCCCGCAACACGGTGGTCACCTTGGTGAAACGATCAAAATTGTGTGATCGTCGGTCGAAACTGGAACTCCAATAGTGACAACGGAAGGCAAGGTTATTAAACTCGAAATTTTATGTAAACTCGTGAGAGTAGAGTAAACTCGACTCGTAACCTCGTAAGAGTTTACTTTACACGAAAAAATAATTGTATAAATAATATCTGATATAAATAAGTCCAAAAAATTATATAACTTTAAATAAATAAATTTATAGAAATATGATTCATAAAAATATTAACATAAATTAAAATATCAAGTGTCTATTTTTAATTCCCTAATCCTCTAATGATATAATTATTAAAAACCATAAAGGAAAAAAAACAAAAGTGGAGCAGTTGAAGGAAAAAAAGACACAAACAAAGGCTTAGTACTTTTTAGAAAAAAAAAAATACTTCACTTACATTACACCACACCAAGGACACCAAACCAAGGGTTGTGAGCATATTAGTGAAATAGAGGCACGATGAATGCGAAACGAAGAACACGATCAGAGGCGAAATAGTGCGACCACTGAAGGAGGCACGATGCGAGACCATCGGTGACGGCGAGATCGTGGCCAACAGCGACTGCGAACAAGGGCAAAACGCGAGCAAGGACGAAACGCAAACGACAACTACTGAATCACATAGACAAAGCACAGTGTTTAGTGAATCGTAGGAGACAAACAAGAAATAGAGCTTCGTCACTCAACCTAAATCAAAAAACCCTAATATGATGAGGCCTAAATCTTCAAGAACTCGCCAAATCGGAAGCAAACTCACAATTTCAGCCGAGTCTACCGATTCTACCACCAAGCCCACCGATTCTACACCAAATCCGAGTTAACTTAGAAGCATTGAGTTAGCACGTAAACTCGTCCGAGTTAACAAGTTAACTCGCGAGTTTGATAACCATGGCGGCAGGTGATGATAGTAGACGATGGCGCCGTCAGCAGCGGTAGGTGGCGCTGCCACTGACAGCGATAGGTGTAGTGATAGAGACAACAAAATTTTTTTTCCTCAAAAGAACCTTAGGCTCTAGATACCACGTTGAATATAATGAAAAATATGTATGAGATTAATCTCTCGTGTTGAATATACATATAGGGTATTATATATATAATAGAAAAAATATGAGTTTGGCCCAAAATACAAATAAGAAATAATAACAAACTAACTCAAGATAAAAGATAAAGATAATATATATAACAAACCTCAATCAAAGCATCACGTTTCTTGAGCTCCTCTTCTAGTTTATTGGTTAATGTAGATGAATCCATGACATCCCCTGTTGTCCTGGAATTAGGTAGAGCTCCAGAAACAGTTTCTGGTACAACATTTAACCTAGTGTTGCTCGATCTAAGGGCTTCATTGAGTTGTATTTCAAGGCTTCCAATTTTGGCCTGAATAAGAGAATAAAAAGAGATACAAACATTATCAAGCAAGCAAGAACAAAGCTGGTCACATGCATCTAAGACCAAAGTTGTCATATATATAACAAAGCTTAGGTGGCAAGCCATGATCAGCAATGCCATGCCACAAACTACGGCAGATGATAGGTGGATGGCACAGTTGTAATTGTAGTACTAACACCAGAAATATAATAGACTTAGCATTAGCAAGTAGCAACCACAGTATGTGCTACGTGGACAAGTAATCTTAATATTAAAGCCATATATAAAGACCAAACTCTCTTGAACTCTGTCTATCAGCTATATGAGTAGATTAGAAAGAAAGACACTAGAAGCCTGTAAATTTCCCATCAGTTACTGATGGACCTCTGTTCTGGTATGTATAATCCAATTCCACTAGTTTTTCATTCATCTCCCAACTTAACAATCAGTTTGCAGCCCCTGCTTTTTAGAGTTCTCAAACATAACAGATACTCTGATAAAGATATGTTAGGATATTTATCCTATTTTATCATCATTATATTATGTCAAGGTTATCCTATTAATCATGATTATATTGTGTTAAGGGTTACCCTATTTATCATTATTATATTGTTTCTAGGATTACCCTATTTATCATAATTATATTGTGTTAAGGGTTACCCTATTTATAATGATTATATTGTGTCTAGGATTACCCTATTTGTCATAATTATATTGTGTCCAGGTTACCCTATTTATCATGTACTCCTGTATCAATTTATTTTTATAAATACAAGATTATGAGAGGGATCAATCAAGCCCTCTAGAATTATTTTACAGTTTAATTCTCAAGTTGGTATCAAGGCAGGTAGTCTGAGTCTCTTCCTACTATGTCTTTGTTGCCGTCACTGGCGGCATTAAAAATTTCATCTTTTCTAAAATACTTCAATGAGCAATCCCACTGTCGTCTGCCACCATCCACTGCCTTAGTATAGTTTGGCGACCAGTGGATCTTGATCGCCTCCTTGAGCAACGACCAATCCCGCCGGTGTCGAGGGCTAGTTCTCATCCCGGCGCCGTCACGTGCGCCACATCTGTCCGATGTTTGCCACCACCGTCACGTTTTCTTCGACAAAGTTAGGGGTTTTGTCGCCTCAAGGAGCGCGACTCATCCTTGGTAGTCGCTGCCTCATTCTCCTCCACACGCACTATCACGAAAGACTTTTCTCCGATCATCTTCCGGCGCGTGTTTGTCACAAGTCACCTTCCCAGTGTCAAAATCACTGTCAGTCTCGCTGGACCAAAAGAAGAAAAAATATTCTTTGTTTCAGCATTATTGTGGCAGCTGTGATGTTCCTGATGGCTTGTCATTTATTTACAAGTCTCCGAGTCAGTGCTATTAATTGGTTAACACCAAGGAATTTCAACACCAAAGTCATAGGTTGAAGGTTCCTCATGGCATAAGGGGAGTCTATTTCTATCCAAATTTAGAATCTTAGTCAAACAATTTCTCCAGTCCATTGTCAGATCTGTTTTTAGATCCTTTGATGAATAAAGGAGCCCGTTATGATCTTCCACCTTCACGATTTGTCATCGGCACGTAGTCATTTCCGTCGTTTGTCATGAGGAGGAGTATGTTTCCAGCCACTGCATGCCCCATCAGTCAGTGATGGCAGTCCCTGTTGTTTGTCCTTTCAGCCACTGTAGGCCCCCATCACCTCGTCAGTGATGGCAATCCCTGTAGTTTTGTCGCTTCCAGCCACTACAGGCCCCATCAATCAGTGATAGTATTTTAGTCCCTACAGTTTGTCGCTATCTACCATTGTTGGCTGTCATCCACTTTTAATGGAAATCTCATTTATCAAAGTCATCCTTGTTGAAGTTTCGTGGTGTTAGTTGAAGTTTTGTGGTTGTCCATTGATGGCCAATATTATTCTCCATAGGTTGTATTGAGTTGTTTGTCAATCTGTGTTTTTGCACTTTTGCTATCCATTGACCATTATTGAATATAGTGAAGAAGATTAGGAGAAATCTCCCTTAT